AGAAACGGCCAAAGGCCATGAATACCAACCCTCTGTTTGAAACGATGGAGGCTGAGATGCATGATGTCAGGCAGGAATCAGCGGACGAACAGAAGCATGCTCAGCATAATAGTCCGTCGGCGGCCAAGGGAAAACCCTCGGCCTAGACGAAGACGGCGAGAAATCTGTTCAGCGACCCGCTGCCGCAGGATACCTGGTATGTAGCGGACTCAGATTCAGAAGATGTAGCAGCAGCTATGCGCGAGGATGATCTTGATGACGAAGTACCCGAGGACGATGATCCAAGGTGCCCCACCATTGCGTTCAAGGCCATGGACAAACTCCGATGGAGACGCAAGTGGCGTTCGTCCCTGATTGTCAAAGTTCTGGGTTGGACTTTTACATTCCCTATCCTATCCAAACGTCTCGAAACCTTATGGGCAAAGCACGGGATCCTCCAGGTCTCGAGCCTGACAGGGGGTTTCTACGTAGTGATGTTCTCGAGCCAGTTCGACTTTGAACAGGCAGCGGCCGGTGGGCCATGGTTGATTGGAGACCATTACATAACGGTGCGCCCTTAGAGGAAAAATTTTAATGCCAAAACGGTCACGGTAGCAATGACAACAATTTGGGCGAGACTCCCCGGCCTACCGGTTGAATTTTTTGATAAGGAAGCCGTCGTCCAAATAGCAAGTCGAATTGGCTGCCCAATTCGTGTGGACCGTGCAACACTGAATGGGGACCGGGGAGGATATGCCCGAGTAAGCGTGGAAGTTAACCTGGAGAAGCCTCTACTCTCCCAATACAAGGTCGAGGGTATTACGTATTACATAGAGTATGAGGGGCTCCACCAAATATGCTCGGAATGCGGGAAATATGGACACCGGAGTACGACTTGCCCACTACTCATGCGGGGAAGCCCATCTACTCCGACGCCAGTGATACCAGAATCAGTGGAAGCAAAACGAGTTTACGGGGAATGGATGATGGCCAAACCGCGTCAAATAAAGAGCAAGCAACAACAGCAACCTGCGCGTGCCCCGGGATATCCTGCAGGTAAACCTTCGCAGCAGCAACCTACAGAAAGGAGTGATTGTGCAGGAACGGGTTCACGGTTTGATGTGTTGGAAATGGAAACGGAGGAAACAAGTCCCAGGGAAGATGCCCCACCAATCATCCCCTCGGCCCAGAGGGTGCTCGAAACTAATGAGGGCCACCCCACTCGTCCCCCGACAGATAGTGATAGTGGCGCAGCTACAGGGCAAAGTCAACCTACCTGTCCTGCGACCCTGACTCATGTAATGACCACGGATTCTATGAGGGGGAAGGAGGAGAACCTCGTGAATGTCCCAGTCACTCTTCTCGATAAAGGAGCTGCCCCAACTTTGGCAATCAAGGTGGGAGCTCAACCAAACCAGCCTGTAGGCTCAGCTAAGGGGAGAACGAACGTGCAAGCGAAGGACTCGGGAAAGCAGACTGTGTCAAGCACTACCAAGGGTGGCCGTAAAGATAAACAAGGCAATGATGGCCGAGGAACCACGACTGCCCCCAAAGGGCCCAAACCAAAGCAGTCGACTCCGACCTCGAGTACCCAGATTAGTGACGTGGAGAAGGGGCTTTCCCCGACTCTGGACTCTAGTTTTAACTGACTTGCGGGGATCCGCTTGTTTTGGGAAGTCTCTCTCTCGTGCTAATTTTGTTTCCAATCTTCATTTGTTTTCTTATGTTAGACATACTATCGTGGAACTGCCAAGGGGCAGGTAATGATCTATTTATTCCTCAATTGTTGTTGTTTTGTCAGGATCATAACCCTGACATGGTGATTATCATTGAACCGCGGATTAGTGGGGACACGGCGCGGTGAGCCATCGAGAGAACAGGTTTTGATGGTGTAGCCATGGTGGACGCAGTGGGATACGCAGGGGGTATCTGGGTACTTTGGAGTAAGGCCAATCTAAAGGTAACATCGATGTATGAATGGGAACAGATGATACACGTTAGCTGTTCTCGAAGGGGGTCCAGGGAGCAAGAAGTGGTTGTTTCTGCAATTTATGGTAGCCGAATGCAGCTAATCGCACAGCATTGTGGAAGGAGATTAAAAGGCTCGCTCGGCAAACTACCCTCCCATGGATCCTGATAGGGGACTTTAACTCGATCTTGAGACCTGCTGATCGTATGGGAGGGGCCGGCTACCAGGAAGCTAGAGTGCAACAGTTCAGAAGTTTTGCTAATGAATGTCAACTGCATGAGGTGGGTTTCGTGGGGCCGAGATTCACATGGCGTCGAGGGAACCTGTCTCAACGATTAGATCGTGTTCTTTGAAACCGCCAGTGGCTGCTGAAGTTCCCAGACGTTACCACTAAGCATCTGGCAAGGGTGGGATCTGATCATAGGCCAATCCTGTCCCTGTCGGCGCCTCCTCGACAAAACCGAAGAGACCACCGTACCGGTTCCTGCCAGCTTGGCTGGGGCACGAAGACTTCCCGCGGGCTCTATGTGATGCATGGGTTCGTAGTACCGAGCTGCCGGGGAAGCTCCAGGACCTTACTGAAGACCTGCAGGTGTGGAATAGGGAGGTGTTTGGGCATATTATTAGACGCAAGAGACAGTTGATATCACGGCTCCGAAGACTAGAAGAAAATAACGAGCGGGGTGGTAGTCAACTTTTGCTGGATGAGGAAGAACGTACCCGGGTTGAGCTCAATGACACCTTATGGCAGGAGCAACTGCTCTGGCTCCAAAAATCGAGAGAGTTCTGGTTAGCGGAAGGAGATCGGAATACTCGATACTTCCATCTGTCCACAGTCAAGCGAAGGAAGTTTAATAAGATTCTTGGGCTATGTGACGAAGAGGGTCGCTGGGTCTATGAGGAATCGAAACTGAAAGCTCTAGTTCGAGACTTCTACATTTCCCTTTTCTCGGCGGAGGAGGCTGGGGCACCAGGGCTGCCCTCGGGTTTTGCGTGCATTCCACTTGAGAAGGCTCAGTCTCTGACTCACGCAATCTCGATGGAGGAAGTCTGGATGGAAGTGAGAAGTATGGGGAGTCTCAAAGCACCGGGGAAGGATGGCTACCCACCACTCTTTTTCCAGAAATGCTGGGACACAGTCCAGGCTTCTTTTACTCGGTTTGTCGCGGATTGCTTTGAGCATCCTCAAGTGATTGGGCAGGTGAATAGTACGTTGCTGGTCCTGATTCCAAAAAAAGAGAGCCCGGAGTCTATCAAGCAATTCAGACCAATTGGCTTGTGCAATGTGGTGTACAAAACGCTCGCCAAATGTATTGCCAACAGGATAAAACCTTGGATGCCCCAGCTTGTACACCCAACGCAAACAAGCTTTGTCCCGGGCCGTCATATCTCAGGAAATATCATCATTGTTCAAGAGGTAGTACATTCGATGCGCCTTCGGAAGGGTCAGAAGGGGAGTATGGTGCTAAAGATTGATCTTGCTAAGGCTTATGACCGGGTGAGCTGGGCTTTTCTGCGGGAAACGTTGCAAGTAGCAGGATTCCCGGAGAAACTTGTCGACGTCATCATGCATTGTGTATCCTCGTCCTCTCTTCAGGTTCTTTGGAATGGTGCGCGTACAGAGCCGTTCGTCCCTTCTAGGGGACTTCGACAGGGATTCCCATTATCGCCGTACCTTTTCACTCTGTGCATGGAGCGGCTCAGCCACCTTATCGAACAAGCAGTCTGCGAGAAGAAGTGGAAGCCGATCCGACTTTGCCCAGGTGGGCCTCCTCTTTCTCACTTATTTTTTGCGGATGACCTGATTCTGTTTGCAGAGGCCAGTCTCAGCCAGGGTGAAGTGGTCATGGAGTGCCTGGATAGATTTTGCAAGGCATCGGGGCAGCAGGTAAGCAAGGATAAGTCCGTAGTGCACTTCTCGGGTAATACGCCAAGGCAGGTTAGTGCGGCTATTGTCCAGCAGTTGGGTATCCCACCTACTCAAGATTTGGGACGCTACCTTGGTGTACCAGTGTTGCATGGCCGAGTTACCAAATGTACGTTTAAATACATTTTAGACAGGCTGGATAACAAACTTGCAGGTTGGAAGACTAAGTCACTCACTTTGGCGGGCCGGGTTACCCTTGCCATGTCGGTGTTAAGCTCCCTTCCAACCTATGCCATGCAAACCACGTTACTTCAGTCTCAATATGTGATGAGATTGACAAGCGTATTAGGCGCTTCATCTGGGGATCAACGGCCGAGGCTCGCAAAATCCATCTAGTCCACTGGGAGGCGGTGTGTCGGCCAAAAGAAGAAGGGGGACTAGGCCTCAGAAAAGCGAGGGAGTTAAATCTTGTTTTTTTGTCTAAATTGGCTTGGTTGTTTATAAAAAAAACCTGATGAGCTGTGGGTGAAAGTGCTGCAGGCCAAGTATTTCAAGCAGGTTCATGGAGAAATGCAAGCTAAATCTATGGCCCGCGCTTCAAACCTTTGGCGGGGGGTTCGCAAAGCGTGGCCGATCATGGCTCGGGGGACACACATGAGTATTCGCGATGGGCGGGATACCAGCTTTTGGACTGATAGATGGGTGGATTCCGGAGAGATGCTGATTGACTTGGTGGACTCTGATGTTTCCCCTGACCCAACCAGCTCGGTGGCGGAGTTTGCTACTCCTGCAGGTGAGTGGAACGTTGACCTGTTACGTACTTATTTGTCAGAAGAATGTATTTTGCAGGTCATTGGAGTGCAGCCGCCTAAAGCTAACTCCGAAAGCGACATTCCTACTTGGGGCCCTGAAAAAGATGGTCGGTTCCGCGTTCGGTCTACTTATAACCTTGCTCGGAGTAGTGAGGAGGGGGCGAACAGCTTCGATTGGCGATCCATTTGGCGGTGGCGGGGCCCGGCGCGCATCACCCATTTCCTGTGGCTTGTAGCTCGGGAACGACTCCTCACCAACGGTGAACGTCACTGTCGCCAGCTCACTTCTTCAGCAACCTGCCCCTACTGCAAAGCGGCTCCGGAAATAGTCCTGCATGTGTTGCGGGACTGTGAATTTTCCAAGTTAACTTGGATGCAGGTCATTCAACCTTCTGATCACCATCGGTTCTTTGGAGCCCAGCTTCAGGGATGGATCCTTCACCATATACGACAGGAACACACCAGCCTCGAGTTTGGTATTATCTGCTGGTCCCTTTGGAGGACCAGAAACGATCGGGTCTTCACGGGTAAGATCGTGACCACTGAAACCTTCCTTCAGCGCATCCGGGCATGGATAAATTTCGTGCGGAATGCTCAGGACAAAGACAGACTAATCCACTCGTCTCGTCTGCCCATCAGAACGGAGGTGGAGATCTCTTGGAAGCCACCACCTCCCGAGTGGGTAACTCTCAATTCGGATGGCTCCGTTACTACCGAATCAGGACACGCGGCTGTTGGTGGCTTGATTCGAGATCACACAGGACGTTGTCTAGCAGCGTTTGCGATGAACCTGGGGATGTGCTCTATCACCCGGGCAGAATTGAGAGGCGTTATGGAAGGTTTACAGTTGGCTTGGGACATGGGGTTTAGACGTGTCCGAGTTGAGTTGGATTCTCGCTGTGCAGTCTAGCTTCTTCAGAGCCTGAATGGGCCTGATCATCAGCATGCAGCCATTATTCAGAGATTCCAAGAGCTGCTCACTCATCAGTGGGAAGTTCACATCACCCACATATACCGCGAGGCGAATAAGTGTGCAGATTTCCTTGCTAGTCGTGGACATAATTTGTCGTTTGGTATGCACTCTATTTCTTGTTCCGATCCTATTATGTACCTTTACATTTTGTATGACTGTCAGGGGATTTCAGAGCCTCAACTGGTTGTGAATGAAAGTTGAGATGCCCTGCATCCATTTAAAAAAAAATTCCTATACAGAACAAAAATTGAAGAATCCAACTTCTTCCAACTAAAGTCAAGTCCCCGCCATCTTGACATTTACATTTCACAAAAAGTTGCCCTGATCCTCAAGCCATCACCAATTTTGAGCACCTCGTAAGAACTAATAAGAGAGCAAAGTATAGAAACACACAAAACCAATTGTGAAATCAAGAAGAAAAAAAAAAAGAAAAAATCAAACTCTATTGGGAAAATCTAAGAACATCCCCAATATAACTAATAATTTACCTAACGACATGAACGGCGAGCGGCACCAGCTCCGACAACGGAGAGGCCACCGGGGTTGGACCTGGAGACGGGGCGGGAGATGTCCGGCATAGAGGACACGTGGCGGTCATCCGGAGCCACTCGTCAACGCAGCGAGCGTGGAAGCAGTGGTTGCACTCCGGAATGCACCGCAGCGTATCCTTGGGCCGGTAATCGGACAGGCAGATGGCGCATGGGCCGCCGCTGTTGGGCCTGGGCAGCCGCTTGCTCTCCCCCAACAGAATCTTGGGCAGGGACTCGATCGACTTCGGATCCAGCCCGGCCACGAACTCAACCGCCGCCTCCGACGAGGAGTTGTCGCGGCGGAGATGGTGGTGGAGCTGGTACCGGTAATCGCTGACGGCGGCGTCGTCGTTGTGGTCTCTAGAACTTCGGCCGCCGCCGCCGCTGCTGGTCTTGAGCCTGACGCAAATGTAGGAAGCGAGCATAATGGTGGAGATGAGGACGAGGAAGCTGACGGCGATGGCGATGCCGTAGCCGAGGCCGACGCCGGCGGCCGAGACCGGCGGATCGGCGGGGGACATGGTAGGGAAAGGGAGAGGTCGCTGAGGAGAGTGGAGTGATGTGAATTATAAATTGAATGAGACGCGGGATGGGATCAAGAGACTTCAGTGGCCAGTGGGGATGGAGCTTTGGGATTGATGTTCAACTCTTTGAGAATGATAGAGATTCAGATACAGTTGTAATAAAATTGCATTAATAAGGGAGACTGAGAAGGATGGTTATTAAATGGCAGGAAAAGTGGTAGGCGAGAATCCATTTATGATATGGGGCCGGACTTTCATGTTCATTGTTTCAAGAACGCAATTGTTTAGTGTGACGATGATGATTTGTAAATTTGAAAAGTGTTCATCTTTGCCTAATTGATTGCAAATCAAGTGTGTTCTGAATACTTCATTAATTTATCATGCATGCCCATCTCATAAATAAATATTAATGAAACAAAGAAAAGAATTATCAATAGAGTCGTACAAAAGTCAAATATTATCATGAAATTCGAAGAGAATATGAAATGAGTATCAATTATACCGTGATCTCTTAGGATCAACTACCGTATGTTAAAAAGTTTGCCTTATGAAAATTATCATAGTTGGAATCTTCCAATACCTAGTCTAGAGCTCTCGATCAGCAAGACCGAGGTTTGCATGTTGGTGATCAATTGGAGGGTCCAGAGAAATGAGGTGGATGGTGGATAACCATAGTTAGCTCGAGCTCAAATTTCCTGTATGTATGTAGCATGTATCCCATGCAAGTTGAAGACCAATGAGCGCATCCATAGTTTTGACTTTTGAGTAAGCCCCTAATAAGTAACTATGCTCGTCTCTAACAGTGTTAAGGTAGAATAAAATGAGAAAAAGGAAAAAGATAGATTTTGATAGATGTGAAGATAGAGACAATAGATTATAACTTTAGAATTAAAAATTAATTATTTGATGGGTTAATTGTCCCTCCTCCCTCCCGTGTATGGAGTGAGATTCACAATTTGTAGTCATCTAAAACGGTGATTGAGTACATTAGTTACAACAAATTTTGGTGTGTTTGGTATGAAAACAAAAGCATTGATGGTGTGCTCAAGTACGTCACGATAGATCGAGTAGGTGTGATTACACTTCGTTTCTTAAAATTTTGAGCTCGTATATTTCGTTTCGAAACTATGGGGTCGTTTGGTTTTGGTGATTGTTTGATTGAGATAGTTACAATCCATGCATTGTCCACAATGCATTGTTTTTTTGAATTTTCTGCACAAACAATACATAATTTGTTTGCTTGATTTGACACAAACTATCACTCAAAATGAGTGATAGTTAAATCTCAAGTTTTTGGTGAGATTGTTGAGATTGTTTGATGGAGATTGTTGTGTTTTATTTTCTACCAACTATGTCCCTACCTTTTTATGTGTGTTGCTTTTTTATATTAAAAACAAAGGGTAAAAGTGACATTTCATAAAAAAATAATATAACTTATTTAAATAACACAATAACTAACTATCACAAAAACCAAACGATGTAAATTAGAATACACCAATTTTCGTATGTGCATGAATATTATTATGCATGCATTGATGACAATGCATCTATTTAATATCACCAAAACCAAACCAATCCTATATTACATAAATCATTTTATGGGATCTCTTTTTGGTTCATGAATCAAACACCAACAACAACCAACTCCATGACATCTTCCAAGTTATTGCCATCCTACGATCCTCAATCTCCTTATCTCGAGTAGCAATTCGATTCCTCCAACCCCATCCTCGATATCTCTCCCTCTTGAACGAGCACCCAGATGTGATTTTCCTCCCCTCTCTATGGTTCAAATTCCTTGAACGTAAATTATTAACTCTTTCTCGTTCAAATTTCTGGTTCCGCCACTACAATCAATAACCAATAGAAGTGTGGAACTCACCCCCTAAATCCATTGAACCTATGAGTAGACAGTAGACAGCTGGTCTACATCCTTGTTTATGGCTCTGCCTCTATTAGGGTTGCAAATGAGCCAAGCCGCTCGCGAGCAACTCGGCGTTCGAATCGGGAAAAATTCGTTCGACATTCGACTCGTTGTTTAACAAGTCAAGCTTGAGCTAGGCCATGCTCAGCTTGATAAGCTCGTGAGCTAGCTTGACTCGGTGGTTTATTGAGCTAAGCTCGCGAGCTGGCTTGTTTAAAGCTTGTGGAAGGATTAATTACTCTTCTGAACATGAAAATTATCTTGTTAATAAGGATGTGTATGGAAGTTAGATGTTATATTTAGTTTCTAGTGTTCTTTTTATCATTTTTAATTTCTAATGTTCTTATTTGTACACATTTTCAACAAGAATGGTTTCAAATCGAGCTTATCTTGTGCCGAGCTTGTACTCAGCTTGACAAGTTGTGTTAATGAGCATTTACCGAACTCTATCGAGCCGAGCTCGAGCTGGATGATCAAAATTCGAGTTCGAGTCGAGCTCAAACTAAAAAATTTATAAACGAGTCGAGCTCAACCTAAGCAAAAACTCGACTCGACTCGGCTCGTTTGCAGCCCTGCCGCCCTCTACCAAAAGGGAAGTGAATCCATAATATCATCCTTACATGCGTCGGTCCAACGGCGTTAGAGCAGGAAGAAAGAAAGAAAGAGACCAGATGGAGAAAGGGAAAAGTCCAAACTCCAACTCGCAAAGAATTTGGGTTACGACCACTGGGGTATCCTCCTAGTCCTAAGGCCCAAGAGTCCAAGACGTATCCATGGTTCCAACTTACAACTCCTTAGGAGTTACGACGTGGCACGTAAGCCTGCTCCGTTTCCATTCCACCACACAAAATTCCTACTTCAATCCGAAAACTGGCAAGAACCTTTGCCTCTCTCACTCTCTCCCGTCGTCTCAATTCCAATCGAACACGATTCTCTGAAAATTTACTTCAGATTCTCATCAGCCTTATTTGCTCAATTGGGTTCGATTTCCTCCTCCATTACAGGCAATCCGGCTTTCGAACCAACTGCTCTCTGTCTGGAGGTAAATTCTAGGAAGCAGATAGAGAGCAAGAGAGGGGAGAAAGGTCATGGCTTTGGCATGCGCTTCTTCTTCGCAGGCAATCATATCATCAGCCAACGCCTGCTCATTCACAGCTTCAAACAGGAGATGGCCTAGTTTCCAGAGCGGCAGGCGGCCAAGTTTGAAGCTTTTCACCGTCAGAGCTTCTTCGTCCGAGGTCGATTCCGATTGCAACACCGAGGAATGTGCTCCTGAGAAGGAGGTGAGAGTTGGGCTCTACCAAAAATCGAAAATTTCTCGCTTATTTTCTAAAAAATTCTACAACTTTTTTGTGCTCCTCCCCTTTGGTGCCTGCGTGTAAGGTGTTTGTTATTATGTCTGTGACCCGAAATGTTAGTGCCCGATGCGATTACTGGTTGTGGTCTGTGGGTTTGGGATTAATCAGGTCGGAAAGATAAGCATGGATTGGGTAGCCGAGGAGAAAACCAAAGTGGTGGGAACGTTCCCACCTCGCACTCGTGGCCGTCCGTACACCGGCTACGTCGAGAAAGATACCGCCGGGCAGACCAATATCTACTCCGTCGAGGTATTCTCGTGAATATATGCTTTCACCTATTGTCCCTATGGATAATAATAATAATCAATCCAAACCCTTATTGGGTTTTTGTTTTTTGTGTTCCAGCCGACGGTTTATGTAGCCGAGAGTGCTATAAGTTCAGGCGCTGCTGGTTCTTCATCCAGCGGAGCTGAAAACACAGCTGCAATCTCCGGCGGCCTTGCCCTGATTGCCATCGCAGCTGCTTCGTCGATTCTGCTTCAAGTCAACAAGAACGCACCGCCGCCTCAGGTGCAGACGGCTGCATACAACGGCCCATCTTTGACCTACTACATCAACAAGTTCAAGCCACCGGAGGTCTTCCAAGCTGCAGCACCGACTGAACCGGAGTCTGTTGCGCCACCCGTGCAGACAGAATCTGCCGTGACAGAAACAGAGTCCGCTGCATCAGAAGCTCCCCAGGTAGAGGCTCAATCAGAGGTCCAGCCAGAATCTTCACCTGTAACCGAGAACTCTGCTGCGTCCTAAAGCTAAACAAGTTTTGTTCGATCTGCCAAAATTTTATAGTACCTGTACTTCCGCTAATGTATAGATACTTTATCATTGTATTGGTATCTTTGTTATCGTGAATGAGGAGATCAGCAGAGGTTATCGTGATCCTCTTGCTGTTCATTCGTTTTTAGTTCCCTTGAGCAAGGGTTCGGTTCATATAAGTTACAATGCAAATGGCCATTTCTCGGACCTAATCATCATATCCTAGAAGCACCCAGTGGCCAGTTCAAGAAAGAGCTGATACAATGGGCGTCTTGCCCAACAAAAAACACACAGATACATACATCAATTTTCATAAGCAAAATGGATGGCAGTAAAGAGGGAATGCAGACCTCGCATTCCATTGCAGAAGTATTAAGGCGTAGTAGCAGCTGACCCAGATGGCGGCTTGGTAAATAAGTGTACAAAATCTATTTGGACCAGTGGTTCTCGAAGTTAGCAGGGTTTCATGCACTTCCATGAGCTAAGGAGGGAGATACCTAATGCTGTATGCATCAGCAGTTTTGCCATCAGATTCAGTCACCAAATTATGGTCTCTCACGCATTTTAGCTCTGGCGAAAAATACTCCAGCCAACAAACCTGAAGAGAAAGGGGGAAAGACGTTGTTTAGAAGTGACATGCTGCATAAGCAGAGAGAGCGTGCGTGTGTGTGTAAGAGTACATACCGAAGAGGATGCTGGCAGAGTTCTCCAAGCTTGTAGGTACTTTGAACAACAGGATGCCAGCAAGAGATAAAGGAATCTTATTCAATGATCCAACTAGGCTGCGAGATTTTCAACACAGAGAGAAAACCGATGAGGAAACATGAAACCTTAGTTTGATTGAGTAGATATCCACATCAACTATTTGTTAGTTACCTGTATGTGGTAGCCCCTGTCTGGTGAAGAAACCACATAGACGTGAAGCTGATAGCGAGGCCCAAGAACCCGCTCAACGTCATTACTAGCCAGAAGACTGGTAATCTCAAAAGGGGCCTGTTGATTTGAATTCGAAAAATTAGTCAGACAATGCAAATGCTCCATTGAAGAATATGAAACAACTACGTGAACAGAGAAAGGCAAGCTTCGGATGGAACAAATTTTTAAGATCAACAATAGAAACCAATATTGATACCAAATAATTTGGTTTTCGACATGGAAACTGGTTTCGGATTTGATTTAACCTACCACAAATTTCTCCCTGCTTTAATAAAAAAGTGGGCTTGAAATAACTTATGAGCAGTGACGTTGGAGAGGAAGAAAAAGGAAACTCACGTTGTTGTGAGGTAGTCCACCTCATTGAATACAAATATGAGAACAAGGCCCAAAGGAAGAGAAAGAGTGTTGTTGAGCATGACCATTGAGAACTCGTTTAGGTTCCCAGATCTAGTAACTTGCTTTGCTGTATCCATCACCCGACGTAGAGTGAGCTGCAGCAACAGTAGAGAAAGAGGATCACAAAGAGAACAATGACAAGCCTTCCAACCAATCATCACTAATTTCACCCTTTGCAGGAGTTAAGAGGTTCAAGTTTTCACTGCAGATGATGTAGGACATGTATGATTCTCGTAGCTAAGTTTATCACCAAAGCCTTCGACTTTCTGTACTCACCGAATATGATGCAGTCAAAAAACAGTTAATGATTTGCCATGTGTAGCCAACAGCATGAAAAGAGAGATCGGTGAGGCCTCCGGAAATGGCTGAAACAATCTGCAATCAACAAAAAAAAGGGTTCCAGTGTTGCTTGAAAAAACTTCAGCATAGCCATAAATGAGATGCGACTAAGTCTAAGAAGGTCATCAAGAAGTCTATATAATCTGTGGTCTACCCCATATTGAAAACAGAAAGATAACGGATTATGAGGCCTAAGTTTAAGGGGGACATTTTTAATAATTATCTCGCACTCTTGACTTAATCACTTTCTTCAATATCCCCTTTTCCTCCCAAAAAATGCATCTACAGACAGAACATACCATTAAGAATAAAGCCACCCACACTCTATTATCATGGTGCTTCTGGAATAGATACATCTCGCCAACTGCAGTGATAACATTAGTCACGTTCTTCAAAACTGTGACCATGGCAACATTGATATACTTCAAACTGCAACACAACAAAAATTAATTCAGTAAAAATATCCAAAACAAACCAACTTTTCTGGAAAATAGAAGGGTAAAAAACTAATTCGCATGATGATGAATAACCATACCTAAACATGCTTGTGATGAGCATTCCAACAAATATGACATTAACAGGCAACCAGACTTTGATCAATCTCCATGTTAGTGGTTCTGTTGAGATTACCCCCAGGAGGCTCAATGATGTTACGATAATTACTGAAATCAAGTTCTGCATCAGCCGAAAAGGTGCCGTGAGTTGGTCAGAAGTACACATTTTCTGTCTAGAAGAGACAAGTACTCCAAGTTTTGGATTGATGTAGTTTCAGAACTTTACCTGGTACAACATCAAAGATATACCAGCATTGAAGTTGTAGCTGGAAAGCACAAATTTGTTGACCAGTATCATGCTGCACGAAGAAATACAATATGCTAGGCCAGCTAATAAGGCCTGATTATGCACAATTACTTTGTTACTGCGCATAAGTTTATCTACAGGCTTTTCCAACTTTCCATCTTCCAAATCAATTTCTCCATTTTCATGTGTCTTCATTGCAAATGCTGACCTGTCCCCATAGAAAATAAAACAACAGACTCGAACTGATTATTGCAAATCAAGTATTACAGTACCAACGAGCAAAGAGAAAAGAAAAAAAAATCGTATACAAATGAAACTGAGAATCCCATTCTTTCACTAGTATATAGTATATGTCCAAATTGTGAGTACTAAGAACATTACTGCACATAGAATCTGAGTTATTCTGTTGACCTTCACATCAAATAACATTGTATTAATCATCCAATCTAAGCAAAAACTGACAAAGTTAAACATTCCACACAAAATATGAGTACCTGTTGACTGCTTCTCTTCTCAATGGACTTGACCTCTGCTCTACAACCAAACTGGAGTCATGGTTTTTGAAGCTCCCTCCACCTCGGCTAACTTTACCTGCTCCTTCTACCAGATCTCTCTCATAAAGAGAATCTGGAGTATCTATGGAGAGAGACCTACAACAAATAATACACACCCACATCAGTCACACTGCCAATGATGTACTTAATAACTCAAACACGGTGGGAAAGTAACAATCTTGAAAGGAATTTCAAGACACTACAGACTTGATCCAAGCACAGTAATCATTCAAGGTCAAGGATGGTTTTGCTGATGAGAATGCTTTGGTTAAAAGCAGACCAACCAAGAGACTGGATGAATAAGGGTAAGCACTAGATAACGTGAAATCAAATGAGTCCCAGTGAAACAGAGGCTAAAGAAATCCAGAAAATTGCACTTCAACAAAAGGACCATATTAAATAATGAGATTCAGGAACTCAAACTATCATTAATAGTAAAAAGCGAATAAGGGTTGCTCATCAAGAAACAGCTAATCATCAGGATACATTTTTTATCGACTTGTGCATTCCTATACCAAACCATATGGGGAAGCTACACAAGAACATAACCAATGATATCCAACTACACAACTTTACATTAGAGTATCAATAGAAAGATTCTGAGCTACCAAACCACGACCTATTTCCACATTCATGGAGACTCCATTATTTCCTGCTCGAGAACCGTTACATTAGGGAAAACAGTTTTAACTAAAGAACAACTTCAACGAATCCAATACGAGCTGGGAATCAATCTGAAAGCAATGATAGAAGCAGTTTCCTCGAACAATATGTAAGCATGATTATATGATCACTGATGTCATTCAAGCAAGCAACTTTCAGCGTGAGCAAGAACTATCTACTATCAGTCAAAGGAGCAGACCAAAAAACTATTGGGGATTCGTGCTTTTGATTGATACGAGGAAGAACCAAAAAGTGCAAAATGCTACAAGCCCAGAAACAGAAGACAAAAGAAATTACCTTGTGCCCATTAAAATTCAATAGTTGAACATCTCAAGCTCCAGAAGAAGTAGCTGGTGGACAACAAACCTTCGATTGGTCAAAATCTCCGGCCAACCCAGTAGAACTCAGCAGAAGCCAATGAGTAAGAAGAAAGAAATCAGGGAAATTTCAAGGTGCTAATCAAAAGAGACCCTTGTCCTCTTTTGAGCAGCAAATCGATAAAACTTGGTGATCTTTTGGTTCAGTGGGTGGGGAGTCGGAATTGGGCACAGAGGCGGTTGAGCACGGAACGAGTTGAAGCTGACCCAAGAGGAACTCCACTACGCAAAGATGAGAGCACAGAAATTTGTCTCCTTCACCTTGTGACTTGTGTTGCTGCTCTGTCTTTCACTCTTTCTGTCCGTCCGTCTCTCTCTTTCTTTGCTGCTTCCGCAGCTCTTCCGCCTTTTTTAAGTAGATTATTCAATTTCTCTCCTCCTCGGTTTGAAATGGCTAACATAATCAATTTGATTCAGTTTAGTTTCCCTTGTTAAGATGTTTGCCTTTGATTGGGCAACTTTGATGCGTGGAAGAGTCGTTGCTAAATTACACCGTTCCATTGGCCCAATTTTAACAGTCATGGACTTGGAATTGGTCAACGTGGCAATCAGCACAAATCAGCTCTCTTATTTAGTCGCGATACGATCATAGATCAAGCCTTGGAACTAGGTTCTCAACTAGGTGCGGGCAGCATAGGTGAACAAGATTGTTATCTGGGCTCCCCTCATCATCTCTAGACCAAAGAAGGAATTCTTTCATTCATGGAAGAGAAGCCCATCAAGGTTGAAACAACGAACCTTGTCTGAAGTTCGTAAGAATACTTTAATTAGAATGTCTAGTACTAATCTGTCAGTTCATGGCATGCCTTGCTTTAAGATCCCGAATGAAAATTGTCGGCGTCTAAATAGTCATGTCACATGTTGCCAGATTCTGGTGGAGCTCGGCGAAGAATTTTGATCACCCCATACATAAGAATTTTGATCACCCGATACTAATCTGTCATTACCTCGGCCGCAATTGTGAATTTCTCTCTGGTGGCGACATGCTATGCTTTCTGAACACCCATCAACTCATATTCTCCAATGCGTATGCATGTTGTGGAGGATCTGGAAGTCTCGTAAGAAGGTGATCTTTGAGCATTATCAATCACATGCCCCTTCTCTAGCCCGTCAATGTTTTTTCGAGTCCTTGAAGTGTCTTCCTCGCTCCATCCCGCTCCAGTTCTTCCTCCTCACCCTTCATCTTTTCGCCCTACCTCTTGGGTTCCTCCTCCGTATGATTTCCTGAAGATCAACTTTGATGTTGTTGTTCGTGATTCTGGTTGCTCGTTTGGCCTGGTTATTCATGGGGCAAACGAGCATGTTGTGTTCGGCTGTTGGCAGTAGGATCCCAACACTCCGGCATAGCTAATCCTTACCTCGTAGAGCTACTTGTAGCAAAGGATTCCATTTCACTTGTGGTTTACAAGTCCCCACCTCGCTTCATCATGGAAGGTGATTATGAAGTGATGATCCATAAGCTTTGTTAGGGTGTATCTTCATATGCTCTCGAAGGACCCGTGCTTCATGATTTGATTGCTTGTATTGATCCGGTACAAGGTAATACCTACAAAGAAAATAGTGTGAATGAATTTAGGTGTTCCGCTCATGGTTGTCAAACCACTGATACGACAGCCAGTACAAATGATATTGGATAAAAATTTGCTTGAAGACTAGCGATATGAAGTTATAGTCAAAACTCAAAACTGGTAAAAAGCATGTTGATATAATATTTATATATTATATACATGCTCTATGATGGAAGGAAATAGTTGAACTCCAAAGTAGCAGTATCAATAGCATACTGATATGTGCATATTTATACATATTTTGTCCCTTATAACTTGGTCGTTTATTGGTCATTTGGGTTGTAAATACCCTTTTATAAACAGATTTTACGCTAGGTGTTGTGTATATGTCAAATCTCTGGTCCTAGTGCACGGGTGAGGCTTGGGGATGAGTTTCAAGATGATAAGATGTCAAAATGATACAAAATTGAAATCCAGAGCAAATGTCAGACCAAGAGAGGAATATCATGGTTACGCCGTGATATTCGTGACCCAGGAGGAGGTTTACTGGAAGCAAAAGTTATGGGTACATCCCATCCAAGACGGATGCTAAAACTCATTTTTTCCACCTTGCTCCATTACACCTTCGTCGAAGCAACACCATTCACATGGTCCGTGTTGAGTAGGTGGTTATACATACATAAGAGAATCCAAGACAACAATCTCAATATCATATGCCCAGAACCTACTCTCCTCCAATGAGGTCAAACCCTCAAGGTTCCTTGGATCACTTATCGCTCAATTGAGTTATTTCGGAGGATATGAACAATTCATTGATCATGCTTCTCTCTAGGGAGAAAATAAAATGAGATGTCTTTAGCATTGGGGCTTCCCAAACTCATGGTTTCACAGGATTGCCGTTGTTTTCTTTCATATATTTTGGGTGTCATTGGTCCTAATGTGTCTCTAGTTGTGTTATATTTCTTTCAAACATACCACTTACTTCATAGCATTAACCACACTTGGATCTCCGTCACCCCTAAGATGCTAGATGCGGAGACTATGAAGCAGATGCAACCTATCAAGTTTTATATAAAATTATGGGTAATGTCTATTTTTTATCCAAAAAAATTTCAAATTATTTAATATTATTCAAACCTATTAAAATGCTATTAATTAGCCAAAATTTTCGTAATTCATAAAAATTATTTTGTGGTCATTACCCTAAAATTACCCTAAAATTATTTCCAAAATCCTTGTGTGTCGCCTAAGTGCTTTTTTGATGTTTGTGGTTAGTCATTTTCAGAATGATTTTATCAGAGGTCGCTCCATTTCAGATAACATTTTATCGAGCATGAGGTTATGCAATTCCTTAAGACCAAAGTGAATGGTAGAGATAAGTGGATGACCTTCAAGCTGGATATGGAGAAGTCTTATGACAGGGTCGAAAGAAAGTTTCTTTTTGCGATCCTCACAACTATTGTCTTTCGTGACATGTGGTTAGGTTGGATCGATCAAAGCTTGTGTCACTATAGTTCATTTCTCGGTTTTGATGAATGGAGCTGAATATAGACACTTCCAACCACAATGCGAAATTCGACATGGCGATCCTCTCTTACCTTGCTTTTTGTCCTTTTCACCAAGAGGTTCTCTGCCAAAATAGAAGCTAAGAGTGCCTTTTCCTCCCTCCATGGTCTCTGAGTGCTTAGGTTCCCCTCTCACATTCCATTTATTCCTGACTGTAGTGCTGAATGGATATGGTGCTATGAGTGGTTAGTGGGTGAACTTACACTATCTTTGGTGTGTGAGTGCTAATGTGTCGAACCGAGAGTTTGAGGAGATTAGCTCCTTCCTATGTGTATCCATTATGGACATGGAGATCAGATACCTTGGGTAGCCAGCTCAAGTTCAGCGGTCAAAAGTTCTTACCTTAAGATTTATCGAAGAGGCCTTGGCAGCCCAGACATGGAATCGGAAGTCGAAGGACGTGTGACGTGTCATTGGCTGTCAAGGAAGTTGTTATTAATTAAGGCCATAGGGTCTGCGACTCCTATTTACACTATGTCCTCTTTTTGATTACCTTCCGAGTTCCGACTCTTAGCGCAGGCGTAATAGCCAACATGCGCACTTATGGTGGGTGGATCATGACCAGGTCAAGGGAAATCATTGGATCTTGTGGGTGGGTTGAGATTATGCAATTTCATTCTTTTCAATGTTGCATTACTAGCTAAACAAGCATGTAGACTCATTCTTAATCCGGGCAGCTCTCTGGCATGCATGTATAAAGCGTGATATCACCCGCATCAGCACTTCCTCTCAATGATCTTACTAGTTTGTGTCCTTCTTAGGCATGTCAGGGTATACTTAAAGGGAGAGACTTAATGTGAGGAGGCCTCCAATGGCGCATGGGTTCTGGTACTGCAATCAAGATTCTTGAGGATCATTGGTTGCCTACGTCTTCTTCATCCGCATTTTCTCTTAATACATGTGTATCCCTTCCTTTCTATTTTAATTATGATCTTATTTGTTCCTTAACACGTTCTTGGAAGGGTAGCATATTTCGATCTATTTTTGCACTTGATTCGCTCACCCATATCATGTCCATTCCTCTATCTTTGCAACCTATTGAGGATCTACAAATATGTCATTATGTGTCTTCAGGATTATACACAGTTAAGAAGGGATGCCATCTTCTAATGACTGAATATAATCATCGGAATCCCTTTTCTTTTCTATTTGATTAAAGGTTCTGCAAAATATCGTGGAATCTCACGGTTCCTACAAAGCTTAAGTATTTTTTTGGAGATTAGTGTGTTGGTTCCTCCTCTCCAGATGGTGCTTCATAGCAAGACCTTGGTTGCAAATGGCATGTGCCCCATATGCTTGGCAACTAATGAGACGTTTGATCATGATTTCTTTCAATGCAAAATAACTGCAAGTTCATGGCAAATAGTTGGTCTAGAGTCCATCAACATCCTTCATCTTTATTGTCTAAATCAATTCTTATGTGGTGTTTTTGTGCTAAAGAATTTAAAAAGGAAGCTGTTTTTTCTTCTTCTTTATACAATATCTTTCTCCAGCTCTTCTGCGACACGTTAATGTGGGTTCAAGAGTGGCAGGTTGCTTCTACTCGACCAACTACATCTACTTGATAGCAGCTCTGTGTTGCTGGAGTCAGTCTACCCCTGCCAGCTACGACTCCCACCTGTCCTTCAAGGGACACTCTGGTGAGGTACGATGACTCACTGAAGCCCAACGTCAGGGGATATACCAGGTTTGTGGCTTTTGATGGCTCGGGTAAGGTTATTTTTTCTTTTGGACAATATAACGTCGGCATTCAAGACCTATTTTTTATCAAACTTTTAGCTCTTCGTGATGCCTTACATTGGTACTTAACTCATGGATTCTCAATTGTTCATTTTATCGATGACTCTCAATTATTGGTGTCATAGGTTTTGGCAGATGATGTTGTTCATAATTTGGGAGGAGTTGTCATGGAAGATGTTTGATGATTCTCCCGCAACTCCACTAGATTATTTTGTTCCTATGCTCCTCGTCAGTACATTAGTGCCCATTTTGCGATACTAAATGCCCTTTCATCGGTAATTCGACTATTCTAAAATTTGGTTACTTCGCATATTATGAATCTTTGATCTGGACTTTCTGGATGTCTATATTAAAAAAAAATGTACATTGTGTTTGGAATTAGGATTTGTTCCGCCCACCAACTTAACAGATATTGCATACAGACTCCCACTTGTCAACCATTATTTTCGTTGATCAGCAATGGAGGATGTCGATATTACTCTATTATATTCATTTTACCATCCTTAGTTTGATAGAGTGGTTTATTCTCCTTTATTTGCTTTCAATCCAACTGGCAACAACGTTTTCTCCAAATCATTGAAGCCGTAGGGAAGAATGGTTGGTTATGGTTCTAACTTCTAAGGGATCTTCACTAGGTGCTCGTTAGATTGGAATAGGAGAGTTATTTTGAGAGAAAGTCCACTTTTCAATTAATTCGATCACGATTTTGTTGCAACTATAACACAATTCGTACTATATCAGGATCAGAATATTGAAATGAGACGGACAAATTGATCGATTTAGGATGTTGTGTTGTGGAGTGTGCTCGATCCCCTCCGAATCTTTGAATTCGATCGAAGGACATGAGTTCGACATTCTAACCACTTGAACTGCAATGTCTTTTTTTTACGGTAATTAGTAGTAAGATTTGATATCCTCATTCTGTTAAATGTAAAACTTCAAACTTCAAACAAAGGAAAAAAATTATATATACATAATGTCAAAACAATAGGAAATAATAGTATGCAAAAGTGCTACAAAGACAGAGGAAAGCAGAAGTAGAGAACTACTAGCTAGCAGTACTCTCCTCTGTCCTTTCTTCCTCCCATGGAAAACAAGAAAGAGTGTTGTAAGTAAATGTATTATGAATCATCATGTTGGTTTTCCAGAAACAGCAGCAGCATTGTCAGCAGGAGCAGGAGCAGGAGCAGGAGCAGAGGAGGCATCTTGTTGTTCTTGTGGAGGAATGTGATCAATTGATTTAGAGTGGGAGTGAGAGTGGCTGTGCCTCTTGAACACATTGGTGAAGCCCAGATACCTCTTGAACCTCCTGAATACACCTTGCTGCTGCTGCTGTTTCCCTCTCCCGTTTGGATCCTTATCATCTTCTCCATCTTCCCCTGCTTTCGGTGAATCCGTCCGTTCTTCCTCTTCTTGTGCTGCTGCTGCTGCTTTTTCACTTGGAGAAGACTCTTTCCCTTGCTCTTCCTTTCTCCCACCTATTTTGGGAAACGCCAATTATTAGTAAACAATGAGAGGATATGATTTCTGAATAATCAAAGTAACTGTTAGCTTGTACTAAGCAATAGTCATGGCAATGAACGATTCATTCGGTAATTTTACTCAATTAACACGACTCATATGGGTGTTGAGTCGGACCTAGATGGACTCATATGTACCTTTTACTGGTTTTGGGTTTGTGTCAATTCATTTGAGTTAGAACCAAATGAACCTAATTGGTTCTAGATGATCGTATACACAAAATAAGAAAATAAATAATTTCATTAACTATTTTCAACTCAATTATTCATCATTAATGTAGGTATTTCCACCATTCTATTTACTTCATGACAAAAAATAAGATGAAAATTGCATTATAATAAGATATTCATTGTATTTTAGACTTCATACTATGAGTTCACTTTGGATCGAAAGTAGTTTTTGGTATAAAAGTGCTCCAAAAATAAAATCACCTAAATTTGATTTGACCCATAATAAGTTGAATTTAACCCAATACCCAAATATTGAGTCTTTTTTGTCATCGGACTATTCAAGTCTTACCAGACAACTAATAGCATTAGTATCACACCAAAAATTAGTTGTCTCTTATGTAATTTTATAACAATAATTATTATAAAAATAAAATGAAAGTAAATAGTTATTTCTCCTTTCTTGATAGTTCTAAATTGGGGAACAATGATAGAACTGAAAACACATACCATAAAACTAATTTAAGGTTAGAGAGGCAACACAATTCTTATTTTAGGGTCCACATTATTGTCAACTTCTCTGAGCTGCAAACTTTTCCAAATGCATGGATTAGCTACTGAATGTCTTATCGAGTGACCATGAGTATATCATTCTCTATCTAGTGTTTTTCATTTTGCTTGAATAGCTTATTCTATGTTGTATCATTGGATTATGTATGAAAAGAATGTTATTTGCATCTATCTATGGAATAACAAGGACTTCCCCATAGGCCATAAGAGATGGCTGGTGCTGCAGACAGGTGGAGATGGTGACAAACGTCCACCCAACCACCAAATTCGCACCACTCATCCAACCAAATCGATACTTGGACCGAACCATACCAAACCTAATATAGCATGGTTCGGTCCTTAGTTTTCCGAATTTTATAAATACCAATAAAAAATGGAGAGACCAAATTACTTTCACTATTGGACCTCAATTTTCACACGTTTGATCCGATCATGCACGTCCTAATTAACTCTATGGCGTACACTAACTAACTAGTTACCATTATACCTCTGGGCTGGGCCAGGGGTCATGATAATGGATTTGGCCCAAAAAGAAATGAAGCATGGGTGCTAGACCCTTCTCCGGCATTTTCAGTCCCAAATTCATACCCGTCCTCCCTACCTATTCCGGTTAAAACATTTGCAAATACCGGCCAGCAATTTTTCAAACCGTAACTCAATGCCAGCAATTAATTTATCCCGCATACGCTTGTTCAGGTTCCAACTAGAAAACACAACTAAACCCGAATCATATTCAATCCGACTCAATATGGTCAAAGCGAGTATACCTCATGTTGACGGATTTTGAATTAAGTACCGATTTTATTGCTTTTGAAATTGGTGGAACGAAATAAATCCAAACGGTACACTAAAGCATGAAGTCAATTTGCATCAAATAGGTACAATATGAATATAAATGTCATTAGTCTTTCTGACAATATAAATATAATAATATAGATAATTTATAAATGTTAGTAGTCTTAATGAAAATATATTTGTCAAAAAAATTTCATAAATATTACAATGTCAATGTTAGAATGTATTATTATGTTTATTAACCCATGAACCTGTGGGTACCGTATGGTTGGATTGGATTGGATATTCAGTTCTAAACCTAATAGGTGTTTATCGAATTTTTTAATGAATAAATCCGCTAAGTTAGGTTTGAGTTTATAGAAACCCGACCTAACCTGACCCATTATCATCCCTAGTCCCAGCACTAAACTAATTACTAACTATTGCATGCAAAACAACAAATCAACCGTAAAATGCACATACCTAAGTCCATAATAAACTAACCACAAAATAAATGGATGACAATTTCACCCAAATTCATGGGTAGTTCCTTATCCAACTCAATTAAGTTGGGTACAAATCACAAAGACAAGATAAATGGGTAGAGTTTAATAAGTATATACCCTTACTCATTTATATGGGTTATGTTGAGTTTTTTCATAGTTTGAGTTTGTATGAGTTTGTACTACGCAAATTATAGTTTGTTACTTAAATTGAATAGATCTTTAGAAATACCGAAACCCATATATATTTTACCCATATCCTACCCATGAGTTTACTTGGGTGTTGATAAAATTACCCTCCAAGGTTAGCAACCGGTAGCCAACAACTGGGTAGGAGTAGGGGGGGATTGACTTGGTATTTTGTAGTCACTAATAAGCCAAAAAATCAACTCAAGGACTTCCCCAACAAAGTAGTTTGGAGGGGATTTACTTGGCAGTGTCATCCATAACCTATATAACGGAATTGGAACATACTCTTTCCCATAAGCAATCCAAATACGAATAGTAAAAATAATGCAAAAAATTGCATGCAATGGTAGTTTCAAATGAACTGAACCAAAGAAGCAAACAGAGTGAGGCGACGAAAGAAGGACCAAGGTTGAAATCCTAACCCAGGAAACATGCTAATGTTGCTAAGGTGCGGTTCAATCCAAACTGAAGCCTCCTAGAACTAGTCGGTTTATCAACATGATTGCACATATCCACAGAATGCAGCAACATAGTCATATAACAATCTATCTAGCACTCAATTACCATCAGTTGCACCATCAGCGGTGACAGCGGTAGTGGTAGTGGTGGTGGCAGCCGTAGGAGGATCCACACTGGCAGCTGCAGTGGTGGTGGCGGCGGAAGTGGGAGCGCCAGCAGCATTTGCAGTAGTGGATCCTTCTGATGAACCCAACAGGGTTGGCTTTCTTAGCCAGTACTGTTCAAATCGCTGTCTTGCATAATCCAAGTAATCAAAATCGATTTTGTTGACGTGTTCCTGTGTTAAAAGGGAAGCCCAAAAACAAAAGGTAACAGGACAACACAACATTTAGAGGTGAATGTACTTGGAATAAGTTAACAGCATTTTTATATTCCATATATATCATCGCCACTCGTCGAGGTGGGAAAAAAAAATAGTTGCAATTGAGGGAGAAATTACCGATATTATGCCCCACAAGCCCCAGAACAGATGGCTTCCAAGTGTAAATTTTTCGACATCGTTAAGGAACTGCTCCACCTCTTTGTCACCAGGCTTATCCGCTGCGCACAGATCACAATTTCAGAAGTTAACTATAGTAGAACTGGAGCAGAAAATTCTAATATATTTCTTTATCAGAGAGAGGTATCATCATTGAAGTGAAGAATCCTTATGGAATCCCAAAACTCCAATTTCATAAGAAAAATGACGAGGTTCAGCATCATACTGATTCTACAACCTATGATACCACTCCAAATATATCAAAACTAAAAGAGCTAAATCAATCACAGTGATTATTATTCATTGGGATCCAGAAAGATAAAATTACTACCTGAAGAAATCAGATAAGCTTGCACAAACCGTTGGCGCTCCTCCAGACCTGTTAAGCTTTCAGGTCAACAGATAACAAGAAGGACAGTAAAAATGAAAGGAATGATTAACTAAACTACTAAAGTGATGTGTACCAGGGTATTTAGTGTAGTCCACTACATGGGGTGTGTCCGAATGGTAGTCAGCAGTCATCTCACAAAAATGATTTGCTAAATCGAAGGCAACAGGATTGTAACTTGCATACTCATAATCCTGTTAAGTGTATAAACCGAATTACCGAGTATCATTGGTACAATATCTGAGATAAAATCGTGGAAACAATAAGTGGAGCAATTGAAAATCAGAATAAGAATGACAGGAAATGCCATCCAGTATCTCAGTACAATATCATCTTTCAACTACTATTTGCCATAACTAGTCAAGCATTTAAGCAATGCGTGCAGGCTCATGACAATTCCAGTTGCAGCCTTCAAGGAAACTTATCCACCAAAGAAGTGAAAAGGAACAGAAAATAGACGCACAACATAACATCTTACCAAAAAGAGGAGAAAATATAATGCACAACATCTTATAAAAAAAAAGGAGAAAATGTAACGCACAACATTCATGGTATCAGATATTCTTGAAGCAAAAGAGAAAATGACGTCAGAACTCAGAATCAAAGAGAAGTCAAATCTGAGCAAGCCGGTTTAGATACATTCGACCAGCTCAGGCTTGTATGTTGAGCACCTTAATAGCAATGTATACAGTAGAAGTCTAAGGCAATCCGACCAAAGCAGGATGGGAGAAACACCAAGGCATTACGTACATAACAGGAGGGCAAGAAGAAAACTTTGAAAACTTACAATTATGGTGATTGCTTTGGTTTCTTCATCAATCATTATATTACCATACTGTAGATCATTATGGCAAAATCCAATTCGTTGATCAACGGAGAGATTCTTCTCGAGTAATGTGATTTCCTCGTCAATATCATTCAAGCGGAAGGCTTTAGCTTCATCTGGAGAACACATATCCTTTGCCACTTTGAGCCAATTTCTGAATCATCCACAAATTTTGAGTAAATTATGCAACTAACTATATTCAAAACCATAGTTATATGGGTAACAACAGTAAGGAAGATACTTATAACACCATACTTAAAACATCAAAGAAGAGTAAAACTGTAATACACACCTCAGTCTATCCCAAAGGTAGACAATCTTTTCACCAGGCATATCAAGAACATGAAACTCCCTCATTTTGGCCGCTATAAGTACTGAAATCTCTGGATCACGCAGATCATGAGCCGATAGTGTCTGAATACCACATGGGAAGAATACAGGGTTATATGTGTCTGTGCCAATCAGTGTACTAATTGTACGAGCAGCTAATCGATCAAAGTGCTATACAATGTTGGATGAGAGATTTTTCATACTCAATTAGAGACTATTTGGCCACTACTCCCTTTTCTTTGAAGAAAAAGCAGTTGGAACAATTCCATAATCTTATGACCTGCAAAACTTGTACCTAGTTCAAGAATGGGATAAAAAGAGCTAACACCCGCAATGGAGACATCTTACGAAATGGTGAAGAGTACTGTCTCATTCTATGACACCCATTGCACTGGTGTAGTATTTTTTGCATTTACAGGGCTCTAAAGCAAGAAACAAATTATTCAAGAAGGGTAAAGATTAATTACCCGAGCATGGATGAACTCTTCAATTCGTCCTTTGGAAAACCGTCCAAGCAGACGAGGTCCATACCCCTGTTTGGACATGAACTCAAAGGTGTGGATCTCATTATCCCTGTCAAAGAATACCTCCACACCCACACCGTAAATCCTGACCACAACCTTGCGCGAGAGCTCCCCAGTCTTCGTTGGCCATTTTATTTGGAAGACCTCATTGGTCATTGCACCTTTGAGAGGGATCACCTGCAATGCATTTGCATCAGTCACATCTTCCCACTTGGATGCCAATGATTTCAGCATCTCCTTTGCCTCTCCCGGTACACGCTCTTCTGGCATTCGTTCATCTTTTTTGTTAACACCCATATCAAATTCAGCAACCCCTAGAATCGCCCGAGTTTCGAATTGCAACCGGGATGGACAGTGTCTCAACCAATGTTTGATCTGAAACACAAAGAGGGGGCAAAACGTCAAAAAGACACCCTTCGTCAAGGGAATTCAACGAAGCAATGAGCAAAACGATTCAGGAAAAAAGGAGACGAGCGAACTCAGCAATTAAATAATCAAAATTCTGCATGCGATCCCCACAGGAACAACTGGAAATTCTTGCATGCGTAAGGAATATCACCTAGCCAAATTCCACTTGTTCGATCCCGAAGATAACAAAACAGACGGAGAAAGAGATGAGAAAAAGTTCAACCAACCACGACGCCGCCGGCGAGAATTACAGGAGAAATCCCCCACTACCTAAGGCGGTTCGGACAGCGAGTTTTTTTGATTTCGATGGTAGAAACGGTGGAATGTAGAGAGAGAGAGAGAGCAGGCGAAAGAGAAGGAGGGCTCTGTTCTTTAAAAATGGTTTGAGGAAAGAACCAGTAGTGGTCAAGGAGAGGGGGATCGATGCAGAGGTCGGAGACGCTACGATGACATGACGCGCGCAAAATGGGTATATTTCGGCAAGGGAGCGGAGGAAGATTCGGGTTCCCTTTTCTAAAAGCAGTGTGTAACTGTAACCGAGAGGGATAGAGAGATAAAAATGTACTGTTCCAGGTGATGGGCTAATAGTTTTGGGTTTGGGCCCACGTTTGGAAGCCCATCTTATTCCGGTTACCGGATGCCCGCTGCCGTACTCGGCGGAAACGGGCAGGCAAAGGCCAAGGACTCAAGGAGGGTTTAAAAGAACAACCGGCGGGGTTTTAAGGAAAAGAGTCAGTCAGTCAGTCCTCCCGCGCCCCTCGTAATCGGTTTCCTTTCGGCTCCTCAGTTTAATTTTCTCCTTCTGGTCTCAACTCTCCGATAACCGTCCATGGGCGCCGAGTCGCTAGCAGGCGGAGAGTAAGTGGCGCTGCTTCATTCCTTCTTTCCTTCCGATTACTCTTGTTGTTGGTAGTTCGAATGCTGTTGATCGTTCTGGTTTCTGAAGTCTTTTTATTGTTATTGTTATTAATAAGGCCGAGCACTGTGGAGCAATTGATCGACAGGCAGAAGCTTGCGGCCCCAATCAAAACTGCAGTGGACAAGTTCCAGCTTGTTCCCGAGTTCTTGAAGGTAGGAAGGAAGGAGGTCTTGGCAACTTTCGTTTTCTTCTCTCTTTTGCTTCATTTGAATTGGTTGCTGCTGCGTTCCAGTGCGGTTGTTGATATATGATTGTTTGTTTGATTGTGGATGAAGGTGAGAGGATTGGTGAAGCAGCACTTGGATTCATTCAATTACTTTGTGAACATTGGTATAAAGAAGATTGTGCGAGCCAATGATCGCATTGCATCCACGGTTGATCCCAGCATCTACATCAGGTATGCCATTTTTTTTTCTCGTGTCCTCTTGGTTTTTGCTCTTCTGCTCAATTGTACTTTGATTCAAGTCTGCTTCATTGTCTGGCCAGTATTTGGCTTCAGCTTTTTTTATCAGTTTCTGGTGGGTGATTCTCGGTTCACTTGTCTCACTTTGATATCTCCAGGTTTAAAGATGTGAGAATTGGCACCCCTACTGTGGTAGTGGATGGTGTTAGTGACAAACTTGCTCCCCACACATGCCGGTTATCTGACATGACGTATGTTCCTCCTGCTCATTCTGCCTTTCATCTGTTATTTTTAGCCTTTTAGTGTTGATCTAACATTGGGTGTTAGGGTGAGGAAGTAAGTATTTTGACGTTTTCGCAAGTTCTTACATCATACTTAAGTAGTCAGGCAATGACTTAATAATCAATTCATTGCATCCCTGGGACCTCTCTTGTTCTGTTGGATTTTGAATGTGTCATTCACTCATTCTTCATGCCCCGCGCTGCATTCTTCATGTCGCTGCTTCTTTTCTTAACTCTTGCTGACTCTTCTTTCCTGCTCTATTTCTTTTCTTGGGTAATGCTCCATGACATGCATAGTTATGTGACGTTCTTCTTCCAATGATAATCGTCGCATCATGTTTTTAAACGAGGTGATCTTGTTCTTTTGTCCATTTGTCACTTCCAACCTATTTTTGGTGTGATAATTCTATGCATTTATCTTGGTATCGAAACAGATGCGATAAATGTTCAGTCTTGTGGAGGCCGTAGAAGAGTTGAAGTGACAACTAATTTGCATCTCATGGTTTAGTATAGTTAACCTTTGCCACTCTGCTTTATCTTTATGACTTTCGGCTGCTTCGGTTTTGCAGGTACACTGCACCAATATTGGTGGATATAGAGTATATTCAAGGAAGTAATGATCAGAAGTACAGAAGAGAAAAGGTAATCAATGAGCACTGACTCTCTGTTGTGTCTGCTTTATCTGGGCCGTTTTAACCTATATGGTTTGTTCCTGCAGCGCGATATTTCTATTGGAAGAATGCCTATCATGTTACGGAGTCAATGCTGTGTATTATATGGAAAGGATGAAGCTGAACTTGCCAAACTTGGTTTGTCTGCAGTTCTACTGATATATGGCTGTCTGATGTGTCCTGTTTTCTCTCAAACACAGATGGGGAAAAGGATTCATAAATTTGATGATCACACATTTATTTATTTCTTGAGTTCAGGTGAATGCCCTCTTGATCCTGGAGGTTATTTTGTCGTCAAAGGAACAGAGAAGGTGATATTCTCTGTCTTATGATTATCAATTTTGTTGAGGTGGTGATTGTTTGCATTACATATACAAGGCTTATATTTAATTTTCATGAGCTTATTTGTTTTATTTTTGATTCAGGTGATCTTAATACAGGAGCAGCTATCAAAGAACAGAATCATTATTGACACTGACAAGAAGGGGAAGTGAGTCCCTCACTTTTTGTTCATTATTTATTATTTCTTATTCTCACTTCTTGTTATTTCATTAAGTTAAATTTTGTAACCTGTATGCATGGTAAAATAATAGGGATAATGACGTAAAAGACCATTTTTGTCTGAACATTCGAGTAAGATAGTTTTATCAGAGTCTTGGAAAAAATGGACAAATTTGCCCGAACTTTAGGTTGACCATTAAAGTTGATGGAGAAAATTGGACCTGAAATTTGAGCCTCTCTATTAATGGTTAACCTAAATTTCTGGCTAAAACTTTCCATTTCTCGAAATTTCGGACAAAACTGTCTTATTTGAAATTTCGGGCCAAATTTGTCTTTTACGTCAAAGTTTAGGCCAGAAAAGGGTATATTCCTATGACGTGGAAGCCACGTCGCAAACACCTCACATTGTATGATGAGTCATAGACGGAAGAAATGTTTGACCGTCGATATTAACGGTCAACCCAAATTTCGGGCCAAATTTGTCCATTTTTTTTAATTTGGACAAATATGTCTTATTTGAAAGTTCATGCGAAAATTGTCATTTATGTCAAAGTTTAGGCCAAAACTGGGTATTATCTGTAAAAAATAATACAACCATTTTGATGATGATGCTACGATTGTCATCATCTTTATTCTGATCTATAAATGATAATATTTGACAAAAAGAAAAAGTTCTACGATGATTCGTTGGTTTCTTTGTACTCCATTTATTGCCTCATTCTTCTCACTTTATTACACGGCATCACGTCCATGGTAACCACTTACCATTATTATTATGTATATTACAAGATATCTGTATTGGGCACAAAAACAATTTTTCCATGATATTTGTGGTTCTCCTAGTGGTGTTTCTTCCATCTAAACTTTCTGTTTGTTCTCTTGCCAGCCTGACAGCATCTGTTATGAGTAGTACAGAGGCAACAAAGAGTAAAACAGTTATCGTGATGGAAAAGGGGAAGATGTATTTGTCCCTTAACCAATTTACAACAAAGGTGTTGTGTTCTACTTATTTACTTCTCTACCCAAGAGAATTTATGTCTCTTTTCTTCTTGATGGTGGTCTAATGAGTTCAGCATGATTAATGCATGTAACAGATACCTATAATGGTGGTCATGAAGGCTATGGGAATTGAAAGTGATCAAGAGGTTGTTCAAATGCTAGGAAGAGATCCTCGATATAGTGCACTACTCCTTCCATCTCTTGAGGTATTATCTCCGACAAAAAATTTCATTGACAATTAGCAGACTAAGTTGACCTCCAGGACACACTGACACAGTAACTGAGAATATGGAACTTTCTGTGCTTTCTGCACTGTGACGCGCAGAAGTAAAATTGAACTGCTAAGTCTTTGCTCCTCAATTTTGTATCTTGACTTGCATTTTCTGCTTGCTGTGATGTAAATGCTCAAGGTATGATGATATTTCCCATGACTGATATTTCATTTTGCTTGTTCCTCTGTAGAGTGAAGTGAGAGTTATAACTTGCAAATATGGTGCTTCTCTTTTTAGTAAAAATAGAGGAATTTGGTGCCTATGACTTCCATGTCGAAGAAAGTTACTTTTCTGACTTCTATCTTGACTCGTGACATTATCCTGTTCTTCTACGTTCAGGAATGCGCAAGTCTTGATATCTTTACACAAGAAAAAGCATTGAAATACCTCGACAATAAGGTAGGTTCTTTTTTACTCTATCACATAATAGCATCTGATTCTGGACTCTCTTGCCTTGGAGTAATGAAAGAGAGGGACGGAAAGATGGAAAAAACAAAATTACTTTATGTTTGTGCAAGACAGAAAAATAAGGATGAAATGAATTTCCAGTAGTCTGGCAAATTACTTTACTTTGCGTACAATTGGCTCCCACCCTCCTTTTTCTGTCTGAAGATCTGGCACAACTCTTATTTCCCTCTGATGGCAATACTGTCTGAGTGCACACTGTGCAATATCCCTAGTTTCCTCTGTTTATCCTCTATGGCAGTAGGTGTTTGATGCTAGCTCGTTTATTTTATTTCTTTCATTGCTAGAGAGTTACTCTTGATTGCATGATAATTTACATTGTATCATGTCTAACATAGAATCTTATGATTTTCAGAAAGACGGGAGGGCTTTGTCTATCCTTAGGGACATATTTCTTGCTAACGTTCCAGTAAGATTTTTATTCCAGCTTAATTGCCATCTCTTACCGGTTACTTGCTTGCTCACAATCTTGACTTATCCCTCAGGTTCACAACAATAATCTCCGCCCAAAATGCATTTATGTTGCTGTAATGCTCAGAAGAATGATGGAGGCTATTTTAAACAAGGATGCAATGGATGACAAGGTAAATAAAGCTGATTTTATAGGTAGTTGATGGGCTAAATGTTTAGTAGTTTGTCTATGTTCCCCATAATGTAGAAGTCGTTTAATCCAGTGCATTTTAGTTGTATAATTTGAAATAGCATGATATTATCTTAGTGGTGACAATGGGACATATAAGACCCCTTTAAGGAAGCACTGGACCAGATGACCTCATAATGGATATTTGCTTGACTGGTGCATTTCCTGTTTTCCCTTTCTTGCCTTTTGTAGGATTATGTGGGAAACAAAAGGTTGGAGCTGTCAGGGCAGTTGATATCCTTGCTCTTTGAGGTATTTTTGTTCCAGTTTGTACTTCGGTTCACATGTATCTACCCTCTAGCGTTGGTTGTAACATGTTATCTGAATTTTGACATGTAGGACTTGTTCAAGACAATGATCAC